CCTTGACAACGTTGTGTTCACCGAGCATAGCTGCGGGGACCCAGAGGTCGTCATCAGTCGTGCGATCGACCCATCGTACAAGGAAATCAACGGCTGCTGTATCGCGAGAACCTCGTACGCGATGAGCGAGAATTTTCGATGGCTCGATCATCGGCTCGGGTACTGGGTTGACCGTAGGATTGATATGTTGACAGTCGAGATCAGTTGTATTCGGGACGAACGGTCGCAGGAGACTGGCATGGAATGAATCGTGAATGCGCCAGTCGGCCGGTAGTTGCAGCTGGGCGGTGACGGGAGTCACCATGCGGATTATGCGGAATGGGCCGCAAAATCTTGGTCATAGTTTATTTGGGAGGGGAATCCCCAAATTTCGAGTGTCGAGCAGGACCAATTGCCCAGGGGCAAGGTTTAAGTCACGGCATCATCGGTCAGCTTGCTGCTTACCCTGTTGGTTGGCTTTGAGAATGGCATCAGTGGCTTTTTGCTGAGACTGTCGGAGGTTTTCGACGAACTGCTGCGATCTGGGTGCCGGATTTTCGATCGGTGGCGATAGGGGGGTTGTCGGGTCTATCCTGTAATTAAGGAAGAACGGGGACTGAGTATTCGTGGCTGATGGGGCGTTGTTGTACGCAAACTCGATCAGTGGAAGAGAATCTTCCCACTGGGCCGGGTCTGTGCACGTTGTACAAATCAGCTGCTCCATCGTCTGATTGGTGCGCTCAGTCTGGCCGTCCGATTGCGGGTGGTATGCCGTGGACAGATGCAGACGTGTGCCGTACTACTGCCAGGTTTTTGTCCAGAAATTGGACGTGAACCGAGGGTCGCGATCGCTGATGATTGCCGAAGGGATGCCGTGTAGTCGCACGATGTTCGTGAGAAACAGCTTCGCTGTCTGCTCGGCAGTGATTGTCGTCTTGCAGGCGGCGAAGTGTGCCATTTTGGTCAAACGGTCAACGACGACGAGAATCGCGTCATTACCGCTTGGACCAGCTGGTAGGCCAGTGACGAAATCCATCGTCACTTGTTGCCAGGGTCGGCAGGGTGGCTCGAGCGGCTGCAGTAATCCCGCAGGTCGAAGTCGTGACGACTTCATGCGTTGACACGTGGCGCAGGAGGTGACGTACTGCTGCACGTCCGTCGGCAAATCGGGCCAGTAATAATAACGGCTCAGTAATTTGGCAGTTTTGTCGATGCCGTAGTGACCCGAGAAATTCGAGTCGTGTGCCTTCTGTATCAGTAGGTCGCGTAGGGTACGGTAAGCGGGAACCCAAATCCGATTGGTACCGGATTTTAGGTGATAAGCCCCCTGCTTGACTGTCAGTTGGGGATGACTGTTAGTCGTGAAGAATGGGTTGGTACTGTATCCGTGGGTAAATAGTCCAGTTAGCAGCGGATTGGTTTGGGTGATTAGGACAGCGGCGGTATGGACTGAAGGGCGGGTCAGTGCGTCGGCGATGTTGCTGGCCCCTCGTTTGTAGGTGACTCTGTAGTGGAAATTCGACTCGAGATAATCGAGCCAGCGAATCTGTCGGGGGTTGAGTGTCGGTTGGGCGCGGATGAACTGTAGCGATTTGTGGTCTGTTCGGACTGTCACATCAGCGCCCGTCAGGTAGCAGCGCCAAACCTTGAATGCGTGAACGATGGCGAGTAACTCCTTGTCGTGGACGGGATAATTTTGCTCGGCCGGATTCAGCTTTCGTGACTCGTAGGCGATGGGTTGAAGGCCTGCGCCGAAGTCCTGTAACAGTACTGCACCAACAGCCAGGTCGCTAGCGTCGGTGATGAGTTCGAACGGACGGTGAGGATCTGCAACGCAAAGAACCGGAGGTGTTGTTAGGAAAAGTCTGAGTTGGTCGAACGCAGCCTGCTGCTCTCCCCCCCACTCATAAAACTTGCCTTTCTGCAGAAGATCCGTGAGAGGGGAAGTTACCCCCGCCATGTTCGGGATGAATCGGCGAACGTAATTCACAAACCCCAGGAAACTTTGAAGTTCGCGGAGATTAGCCAGCAGCTTCCAGTCTTGTATGGTCGCGAATTTTTTCGGGTCGATTTTAACACCGTCGATGGAAATAACGTGTCCCAAAAACTCCAGTTCTTGTTTCAGAAACTCGCACTTAGAACCCTTGGTGATGAGTCGCTGCTGCTGCAGGAGAGCGAAGACTGCTTCCAAATCCCTCAAATGTGCTTCCCGGGTAGTGCTGTATATCAGGATGTCGTCGAGGTACACAATAGCGCATTTATCCAGCAGCGGCCGAAAAAATTCGTTCATGGTTAACTGGAATGTTGAAGGCGCGTTGGTTAAGCCATAAGGCATGACCGTGTACTCGTTACTCCCGTATCGGGTTCGGAAGGCTGTCTTGTAGCAGTCAGCTTCGTTGACACGGATCTGGTGGTAACCGCCTCGCAGGTCAATTTTCGAAAAGAACTTTGCCCCACGAAGTTGGTCGATGAGTTCGTTGGCACGCGGAATAGGATAGCGAGACTTGATGGTACCCCGGTTCAAGGCGTGGTAGTCAATGCACATTCGTAGACCGCCATCTTTCTTCGGGGTGAACAGTATCGGAGTTGCGAACGGTGAAGTACTATGGCGAACAAAACCTTTCTCGAGCAGGTAATCCAGCTGGCGTCGAAGTTCATCCAGCTCTGGTTGAGTCAGCCTCCACTGTGTCCGAACCGTCGGTTGCGCGCCGGGCTCCAACTGGATTTTGTGGTCGTGGTCTCGCTCGGGTGGCAATCCTGGCGGTAGGTCGTCCAGAAAGATGTCGGCATGCTTGCGGATCAATGTCGCCAAGTCGTCGGGGACTGCCGCGCAGAGTTTGTCGATGTCGGCCTATGCGCTGACAGCCGTGGATGCGATCCATCTGACGGCGTACAGTTGTGCCCCGCGAATCATCGCTCGCTTGATGGTAACCGCGCTGACTGTCGCACAATCTGGATTGTTCCACTTCGGAAGTCGTCGCCACTCGCCACTCCATTTGATTCGACAGTCACCCGTCCGCCAATCGATGCTCGGGTTGTACTCGCGCAGCCAATCGCGTCCCAGCAGCATGTCGCAGCCGTCCAACGTTGTCGCCAGCATCTTCGTCGTAAAGCTGAAATGTTCGCCGCATGTAACTCGCACGTGAGGTACTCGCTCCCGAATTGCCAGGGGTGTGCCATCGACCAATCGCGCGTCGATTTCAGGCAGACACCGCTCCACTTGCAGTCGCAATTTTTTCGCTTTCGTCACATCCATTAAACTGTGGCTTGCCCCGCCATGAACAAATATTTTTATGCGGGTATCACCAACTCTCCCTTCAACCAGCACAGGGTGGTCAACCGGTTCACCCCCCTTATTCAGCCAGGAATGGTCGATAGCCCAAATCGGCACTATAACCTGGTGGGGGTGGTGGCGTTTGGGCGACGCAGTCAAGTCAGTAGGTGGCCCATCTGCTACTGACGATCTCCATTTCCCGACTGCTTCTTGTCGTTAGGTAAGTTCTTCTTCAGCTGCGGGCAGTCCCTCACCATGTGACCCGGCTGGTTGCAGTGGAAGCAGGTCCCCGAAAATACTCGGGCTGCAAACACGTCCACGCCGTTGATTGATGTGTGTTGGGGCTGGCCTCGAAAGCGATTTCCCTCCCGGAAACCCGCTCTCGCGAGTCCACGTCGCGCGTCCAGCGCATCCGCCATGCGAACAATCTCGTTGAAGGTCGTCGGGGCTCGCAGGACGATTTCTTGTTGAATCTCCGGTTTGAGTCCGCTCACGTAGCGATCGATTTTCTCGTCCTCGCTGATCCCTCCGATTTGGTCGCAGATGGCCAGAAACGACGCCGTGTATTCTTGGACAGGGCCCAACTGTCTCCACATCCGAAGCTTTGTGCGAGCATTTTCGCGCATGGTTAGTATCCTGTCTGTCACCCGCTCACGGTGGTCGTCCTGTCTGTCGGGTTGAACGGTGGGGGCATGGGAGGCTTGATTTTAATGGCCGCCCGCGGATCGCTCTGGATTTCTTCAACTGCTTCAGGTGTCGCCGACGCCTTCGCTTCGCTCGCAGCATCCTCGTCTCGGGTAACAGGCCGCTCCTGACGCGTTTCACCCCGCGTCTGGCAAAGTGACGAGTTTTCGTTGCGCAGCGTCTGAACTTCGCTTCCCAGCGACTCGAATTTATGCGCGAGTTGTTGAAGCTGGGCCTGCAGTGTCGTCACTGTAGCCGCCCTGGCTTGCAACTCGTCAAACTCCTCCTGAGTCACGTTCCCAACACTACGACGGGCAGAGGTTTCTGGCGTGCTAGTCATGCTGGAAATTTTACCCGACAGATCTGAGGGTGCACACGCTTTTAGTTGGAGGAGCTTTAACGAGCTCGCCTACCAACCGCTGGCCAACCCTCTATTCTGTCGAGTCCTCTCCCGATATAAACGGACTACTCTACGGAAGACTAAGCGGGCAGGAACGGGGCTCTGATACCAGCTGTTATGAATTAATCAGAGTAATAACAGGTAGTGTAATAAAAGAGTCGTGATTCAAGAGTTGTCAATACAAATGAGGACCTAGGCATTTATAGGCACAACAGGGCTAGCCGAGAACCTCGCAAACATGTTAGGGCAATTCGGTTGGCAAAAGCCACGGAGGCGCCGCGCATTAGGTTTGGGTTTACGAAATGGTTCGGGACCGAGGAAAATGGCCGGGCCTGGTCTTCCGAGGGTCGTGGGCGTACGCGCTGTAGTTGAGCCCAGTAAGGAAAAGGAATTTTCCTTACATGTGGGGAAGAAAAGGAGTGTATTTTCTTACAAACTTGAGGGCGTGTTTTCAAAGAAGTGTTTTTGCTCAGCCAGGGCTAAACTCTGAAAATATCTGGTACCTAGGGAGGTGGTCTCTGAGGGTAGAGTCGAATCTGACACTCGCAGGAAAACAATTGTCTCTGACCTCGAGTCTGACACTCGCTCCGGAATAAGCCCTGAGATAGACTGAAGTATGGAGTGCACATGCAACCAAACTTGGAGCGCAGGCTTGTTCTGCCCTCCCTCCCACAGACCCATCCCTCGCCTGGTTCTTCCCTGTCCTCCAGATTGAGCAGACCCTGACGAATTTGCACATACTCCGCGCTCCGCGCTCGTCTTTTCTCAGCATCTGTGCCTCTCCCTTCGCCTCTCTGCAGCCCGTGACCAGTTCTTGACGCACGACTCAAAAGGAATCCGATTGGACACCCTCGATGGGAAGAGTGGCGTTTGACGACTCTCAAGCGGAGAGAATGGGGGAGGCTTCCCCCGCGGAACCTGCGCCTGCAGCATGCGCTAATTCCGCCGATCCTAGCGCGGCGACCAGCGGGTCTGGCCCCCCGGCGGTGATGGCGGAGGCGGCGGAAGACGTGGCGGACCTCCTGATTCAGGTGCGCGGAAGGGCCCTTGGTTTCTTTTCTGACAATTACCGGATGTCGCGTGGAAACCCACTCGTCTCCCCACTCGTCTCCCCACTCGTCTCCCCACTCGTCTCCCCCCTCGTCTCCCCCCTCGTCTCCCCACTCGTCTCCCCCATCTCTCGGCCAGTTTCTCCCCTTCGTATTTTTCCTGTCTCCCCCTCTTCCTCACTGTTCCCGCACTCCCCCCATCCCCCAACCCCAAGTTGTCTTCCCTTTGCTCCCGCTCTCCTCCCCTCCCCCACACGCAGGGAGCGGGGTGTGGCGCGCGGAGGACGTGGCAGCAACGCTTTGAAACGCCGCAGCACCCATCCCCCTGCCACCCCCCTGTCCCCCCTCCCCCACAAACAGGGAGCGCGGTTCGGAGCCATGGAGGAAGTGGCAGCAGCACTGGAAGACGACTTCTTAGCTACTTATCTTCCCCTATTCCCCCCTCCCCCCTTTCCCCCACTCCAACATGCAGGGAGCTCGGTACGGAGACATGGAGGACGTGGCAGCGGCGCTGGATGGCAGAGCTGACCCCCTACCTCCTCCTTCATTCCACCATCTCCCCCCATCTCCCCCCATCTCCCCCCATCTCCCCCCATCTCCCCCCGTCTCCCCCCCATCTCCCCCATCTCCCCCCATCTCCCCCCATCTCCCCCCATCTCCCCCCATCTCCCCCATCTCCCCCATCTCCCCCCATCTCCCCCATCTCCCCCCATCTCCCCCCATCTCCCCCCCATCTCTCCCCTCCTCCTCCACAGGGTGCGTGGCGACATGAAGGACATGGCAGCAGCGCTGGATGGCAGTTGTTGAGGTGCCTCGAACCCCTATTCCCCCTGGCCTGATGACCCCATCATTTTCCGTGCAGGGAGCGCGGTACGGCGACATGGAGGACGTGGCAGCAGCGCTGGATGGCGGTGCTGATGCTGGCGTGGCGGATGATGAGGGGCGGACAGGTGGGACTCAGGGCTTCGGGTTTAGGCAAGCTGCAGGGTGTGGGGTTTATGGAGTGAAGTCTAGGGGTGCTGTCAGTACGACCCCACCCTCTGTCCTTCCCCTCCCATGCCAGCTATGCGTGTATGCAGCGCTGCACATGGCAGCGGCCAACGGGCTCACAGGGTCCTTCTGGTTGCATGTCTTTGTGACCTCACTCATATGTTTGCTTCCATCCTTCCCCTCCCGCGCCATACGTGCATGCAGCGCTGCACATGGCAGCAGCCAACGGGCACACAGAGATCGCCAAGCTGCTCCTCCAACGAGGCGCGGTGAGTGCCCCCGCTTCCCCTCCTTGCTGCTCCCACTCTCCCGCCCTGCCACCTTGCCACCTTGCCACCTTGCCACCTTGCTGCCTAGACCATCTGGACTCCTATCTGTGCCCCCTGTGCCCCCTGTGCACCCTGTAACCCCTATGCTCTTCACTCAGCTGTGAATGTGGCAAATCGGCTGGGCAAAGCACCGCTTCACTGGGTTGCTTGTGCCCCTCCGTCCTTGCCGTCTGTGCCCTCTGCCCCACCTGTCTGTGGCCCCTGCCCCACCTGTCTGGGCCCAATTTGCTGCGCATCCTTACCCCCTGTGCCCCTACCTTTCGGCCTGTGAACTCAGCAAACCGGCCGGCAGGGAACCACACCGTTGCGCTGGGCTGCTTGTTGTGCCCCTCCTCCCTGTCACTTGTGCCTTGTACCCCTCTTGCCCGTGTCCTTCCAACTTACACTCCCCTACATTTCAGCCTGTGAACGTGGCAAACCGGAAGAACAACACACCACTGCACCGGGGGCTGCTTGTTTGTGCTCTTCCCCCCCTCTCTCACGAGCACCTTGTACCCCTTCTGCCTGTGTCCGGTCCCACTTATACCCCCCTATCTGTCAGCCTGTGAATGCACCAAACCGGCAGGGCAACACACCGCTGCACTGGGCTGCTGTAAACGGAAGGGACTCGGTAGGTTGAAGGAGGGGAGGGATGGGTGCATTGGTGCACACAGTGCCTTTAGTTGTTCACTTTTCCATGTGTTGCCTGTGTGCACTTCGTGTGCAATGCTTATCATCACTACTTTGGACCGTATCTCCACTTGAGGAGTAACAGATTCATTGCTGCATATCAATGCTTTGACACACCTGCAACCTCATCCTCTTTCTTCCTCCCATCCTCCCACCCACCCCTTGCCAACCCTGCAGATGGTTCATCTGCTCATTGCTGCTGGAGCCAACCCCTCTTCCCTCAACAGGTATCCCCTGCCATTCCTTTAGCCACCCCTGCTCGAAACACTGTGCCAACCACATTCCGTTGCTGTTACCGTATGCATGTTGGTTGTAAATTGCAGGCATGCCGTGCTGAACATTGGTGGGGCACATTGGTGAGGCACATTGGTGAGGCACATTGGTGAGGCACATTGGTGAGGCACATTGGTGAGGCACATTGGTGAGGCACATTAATGACTCTATTAACCCTGTTTCCCCATCACCCCTCACCTCTATCAGCCCCCACTACTTTTTTTACACCTCTGAGTCCTCCCCCTTCAACGTGCCTGCCCCTCCTTTCCAACGTATTCTTTTCCCCCCTTCCTCCCCAACCTGTAGCTACGACCGCATGCAAGTGGACGAGGCTATTCACAGCAATAACCTGCACACGCTAGACGCCATCCGTGCTGTAGTGATAGCAGGGGACGTGCAGAGCCTCACAATCTTCTCACCTTTTCATTCTCCTAATATCCCCTTCCCCCCCCAACCTGCAGCCACGAGCGCACGCCGGTGGATGAAGCCATTCACAGCAACAACCAGCACACACTGGATGCCATCAATGCTGCCCTCGCCACACGGGATGCAGAGAGCCTCACAGTGGGGGGCAGCCAGGGGGACGACACAGGGGGCGACGGGGCTGGGGACGAGGGATGTGCGGCAGCAGAGCTAATGGAGTGACGGAGTTGTGTGGGGGGGCGGGAGGGGGTTTGGAGCGTGGAGCTGATAAGGCAATGCAGGTGCACTCTGTGGTCCACTGGTAGTGGGAGAGGCTGCTGCCGGCTGCTGCCAGGCATGGGGGTGTCAGTGCCAGCTCTAGAGCCAGTGCTGGGAATGTGCACTGAAGGGGGCTTGGTTTTGTAGCCGTCATTTTCTTGGTGTGTCACGGGCGTGCAGGTCTGGGATGGTGCACTGCACACGCACATGCAGAGCGGTAGTTGATGCACCGTATGTCTCATGAAGTGTACAGTCAATGGTTTTGGTCCACTGCGTACAAGCCGTTGTCTTTCCCTTTGTTAATTAACCCCACCTGTTGACAGGCTGGCATCCCAATTCCCATTCAATTCCCTCCGGCAAGGTGCCATCACCTCGTGGCGTTGTTCCAACATGGTACTGGATTAGTGCATTGCCTTGCGTGCACTCCTTCCACCCTCCGACTCGAAGCATTATGGCCACGTCCTCCCAAGGACCATGCAGCAACTGCGAAGAAACAGCAGACCATAGCTGCTTTATGGTCTACCGAATCTCAGCCACAGGTTACAGCACCATAGGTGCCGTCCTTCAGGACAGTTATGCATGTCCCGCACTGATAATCAGTTGATTAGATCACTGAACATGGGCCGCCGCCGCACTAGTGGGACATTCCGAAAGCAATCCAGTGCACTGCTGTGCTATAACTTCTTCAGCTTCTTGCCACATCAGCATTAGCAGTACTCCCCTCCTCTTCCCTCCCCCCCCTTCCCTGCTCTTTACCTCCCTCACCTCCTGCTGCGTTAGTGCCCTCAACTGCTGCTACAGAAAGCTACCTCGTGCTCCTCCACAGGCGCTCGATTCGCTTGAACCGCCATGGCCACCTTTGAGTCGACTCAAGCGCCACCTGCTTCTCTTGCTCCCTCGGCTGCTGCTGCTGCCGCCTCGTGCTCCTCCACCAGCGCGTCTATCCGCTGGAACTGCCACGGCCATCGCACGTTGTACAGGAACTGCCGCAAGTCAAAGCGGTTGTCCTCCGGAGAGTAGTTCTGAAGGGGGGGGAGTCAAGAGAAGCACGGCGGTCAAGAGAAGCATGGCGGTCAAGAGAAGCACGGCGGTCAAGAGAAGCACGGAGGCCAAGACGAGCATGGAGGCCAAGATGAAAATGGAGGCCAAGATGAAAATGGAGGCCAAGATGAAAATGGAGGACACACAGTTGCCAAGGAAAATGAGGCAACGCGTTTATGAGACAATCACACTGGAGTGAGCGGTCTACCTCAGCATGGTAGGCGGGCGTGAGCGTGGTCATCTTGTGGCGATTCATCGAGTAGAAGCGGAAGAATGCCTTAACCTTCTCCGCAACCTGTGCCACTGTTAGTCGCTCGCGCCACTCGTGGCACAGATGCTGGGTGAAGGAAGGGGGATAGGGGAGGAGTGGAAAAACGGTTAGCAGTGTCAGCATCAGTGGCGACATGTTCACAATGCACGGCATTTCAAATGACGGATTACCGTAAGTGCAGGGCAGCTGGGCAAAAGACCAAGATGTGGGTGAGAGAGAGAGGTGAGAACGGGCACGAACACGGGATGTGTCATGGCATGATGTGGCAGATGTGGCACGATGGAAATGGGTCATGGCATGCCATACATCGTACTGGGTAACAGGATGTGTGTCTTTTGACACACACCTGGCTGAACATGGCAACGCAGCTGCAGCACATGCCACATAGTGATGTACCGCGACTTTGGTTGGATGCATACATGCCCATGCCCATGCCCACGACCATGAGTACTATGAGTACGCACCTGGAACATGGCAACGGGCCCGCAGCGCACGACCTTGCGCAGGCGGCCGTAGAGAGAGAGCTCCTCGTACGTCATGCCCATGTCAACCTCGTCCAGCTGCACGTGCGAGCCGTGCACCAGGTGTGTTCGCGGGATAGCATGCCACACATGCACACAAGAGAGGGAGGGGTTCAATGACGCGCAGAGGCCATTGCACGCGAGACATGGAGAGATAGCCCTTCATAGGTCATGCCCATGCCTGCCTCGTCCAGCTGATGGCGCATGTGGCCCAATGTACAGTCAATCATTCATCGTGCCATCATGTCATCATGCCATCATGTCATCATACCATCATTCCATCATACCATCGTACCATCATGTAATCATGCCCTCATGCCATCGTGCCATCATACCATCATGCCATCATGCCATCATGCTATCATGTGAACTTCCCATCATCCCAACATGTCACCGTGTCATTATGTCACCATGCCATCATGCCATCATGCCATCATGCCATCATGCCATCACGTCACCATGGCACCATGCCGTCATGCCATCATGTCACCATGGCAGCATGCCAGCTTGCCACCATGGCACCATGGCACCATGCATGGAGCGCACACAGAATTGGGATTTAAAAATCGGGCGCAAACTGTTGCACATCGAGCACACAACAAATACTCTCTACACCAGCAAGCACTCCCCGATCGTACACCTTCTTATGGGATGCACTGGCTTCTCCTCCTCATCGATTGCCTGACCTGCACGTAGTCCTCTCTGATTGGCTCCAGCTCAGCGGTGGGTGGCGCTGCCTCCACGTCGGCCAACGAGGGGAAGCCAAGGTGCACTGCCGCCCAGCGCAGGAAGCGGCGGAGGTCCGTCTTGCTGATGCCGCCGATGGGGTTGATGTCGGCGCTGCTGCAGTCGTACTGAGGGAGGGACGGGAAGGGAGGGGAGGGGGGTGGGTTTGGTCTCAGGAAGCGACGAAGGTCCGTCTTGCTGGTGCCGACTATGGGGTCGACGCCGGCACTGCTGCAGACGCACTTGGCAAGTGGAGGGCGATGGTGGTGCGAGGGAGAATGGAGGAAGGAAAAGAAAGGGGGGGGGGGGGGTGGTCGGAGGGCACCCACTTCAGTAGGAAACCTCCTCAGCGTCTCAGCACGAGCAGCTGATAGACGCGTGCACGTCAGAAATGCCCCCTGTGAACCTCACCTTCGCCAGGTACCCTCTCTGCGCCTCGCCTGCATCAGCGCTGCCCAGCACGAGCAGCTGATAGATGCGTGGAGGCGACCACTCATGCTCCCTCTGACCCCAGCTTGGCGAGGTGGCCTCTCAGAGTCTCGTCCACGTTGGCACTTCCCAGCACGAGCAGCTGACAAACGCTTGGAGACCAGCCATTCTCCCTTCAAACCCACCCACCTTAATGAGAGAGCGATGCTCCTTCTGAACCTCACCTTCGTTAGGTAGCCTCTGAGAGCCTCGTCCACATTAGCACTGCCCAGCACGAGCAGGAACCCCCCTCCCCCCCCCTCCTCTCCGACCCCCTCCCCTTCCCTTGCCCCTCTTCAACACCCCTCCCTCTGCTATCGCCTCCCCTCCCTCTGGTATCGCCTCCCCTCCCTCTGGTATCGCCTCCCCTCCCTCTAATATCCTCTCCCCCCTTCCCCCCTTCTGCCTCCGCCCCTTCGGCTGCCCTTTGAACCTGATCGTCCCTGCTCCCTACTTTCCCCTCTTTCTCCTTCTCGACCGGCCCTCCTACTCCCCTCCCCCTGTGCCCGCGCACCCATGGCAGCAGCTGCGCAAAGAGGAAAGCCAGCACCATGCGCAGGCGCGCTTGAATGTTCTGCAGGGCGAGGTTCTCGGCAGATGTGCCGCCGTCCAGCTGAATAAGGAGGGAGTGGATGTGCGGAGAAGAGAAGACGCACAGAGGAAGGTCAGTCCCATGCGGACCCCAGCTGTAGCAGCAGCACCATGCGCAGGGCGAGGTTCTCGGCAGATGTGCCGCCGTCCAGCTGATGGAAGGGGGGAGCGTGAAGGGAGGGAAGAGATGTGTGGAGAAGAGGAGACGCACAGAGGAGGGCCAGCAGCAAGCGCAGATGGGCCTGTATGCTCTGCAGGGCGCCACCGTGAAGCTGATGGGCGAAGACAGGATGGGGCAAGAGAGAGGGATTGATATGCCGGGGGGAAGAGAAAGAAGAGGGAGGCGAGCAGAGCACCATGCGCAGCCTGGCTTGGACGTTCTGCAGGGCGAGATTCTCGGCTGATGTGCCGCCGTTCAGCTGAGGAGGGTTAGAGGGAGGAGGAGCAGGGGCGGATGGGAGGAGGGACATGCTTACACAGAGCGGAGGAGATACGTGGCACAGAGGCATGATGCGCCTTCCATCAGTCATGGAACCTTGCCACACACAAGCCCATCCGCTTCCTCCTGTGTCCGAGGCCCAGCCTGCTCACCTTGTACCGTGGTCGCAAGCCGGTGACAGCAACAAAGAGCGTCACGACAGCAGCGACCACTGATGCGCCTTCATCATGCATACTACCATGCCATGCCATGCCATGCCATGCCCCACACATGCCAATCCCGCGCCTCTAACGTCAGAGCCCCGGCGTTAATCACCTTGTAGCGGGGTCGCAGCCCGGTGACAGTCACGAAGAGCGCCACGACAGCAGCAACGACAGTGTCGATGCACATGTCCACGTGCCATGCGCCTATCTCTGAGGCGAGCTGCCTGGCCCGTGACTTGGTGGCCTGAGAGCTATGGGTGATTGGGGGGGTCATGGGAGCAAGGTGCGAGAGGGGAGAGGGTTTATGGGAGGAGTGCAAGTGGAGGCAACGGAACTCCGGGAATCAGCTGCCAGGAACCTGAGAAGGTGTTAATGGATTAAGTTAGGAAGTTTGCAATTAACATGTTTCCAGCGTGCATGAATAGGGTACTTCCTCAATCTCACTGCCTGTATCTTTAGAGGGTAGTAAAGTGTTGTCACTGCCCATGTAGAGGTCATTAACCTGTTGTCTGTGCCTGTATAGAGGATCAAAGGGTATATAGCGTCTACTAACTTGTTCTCAGTGCCCACAAAGACAGTTTCAGAGGGTTTCTAGAGTGCGATGACCTTTTCTCCATGAAGATGCCACTCACCTGTTCTCTGTGCCCATGTAGATGCCACGCACCTGTTCTCCGTGCCCATGTAGATGCCACTCACCTGTTCTCCGTGCCCATGTATATGCCACTCACCTGTTCTCCGTGCCCATGTAGATAGTGTGCAGGATGCGATCTGCCAGCAGGGCAGCATGCCGCTTCTGCTCCTCCTCTGCCGCCCCTGCTGCCAGCTGTAAGCCCGTGATTCGCTCTGCGTCCCGCTGCACCTGCTCGTTGCCCCCCGCTATGGCTGCGAGGTGGGAGCAAATCGGAGGGAGCGCGAGGGGACTGGAGGTGGGGAGGGCAGAAGAGGGAGTGGTGACAGGGTGTGCCTCGTTCTACGTCCCGCCGCACCTGATCGTTGCCCTCGGCTATTGCTGCGAGGTGGGAGCAGAAGGGGAGGGCGTGGTAAGAAACACGAGATGGGGA